TAGAATGTAATTTTTATTGACAATCTCTATTCAGTCTTTATAAAGTTATATATAAATAAATTTGTTCACATTTTATCAGATTTTTTAATGTTAATATTAATACAATTGAGAAAATAAAATAATTCATATATTCAATGTATCTTGCAACTTGTAAATTTTTTCAACGAATTATTATATATAATCAAACCTCTAACAAAACTTTTAAAATATGATAAACACACACACACACACACACACACACACACACACACACACACACACACACACACACACACACACACACACAAACACACACACACACACACGCACGCACACACACACACACACACACGCACGCACGCACGCAAATTTGCGAATAAAAATTAATAGTAAGAAAGACCTTGAAATTAAGTAATAACAGTTTTTGCAATGTTCTATTACAAGTAATAGTTTCTGAATTACAGAAATGATCATTTATAAGCCACTATTAAACTGTCTGTCCATGATTCATGTACATACCGTTTAATTACCGTGTACTTTATCCATTCATCAACGTTAAACAAAAAATTAGTTGCTGTTCGCTTATGTATATTAATTTGCAATATTTCAATGGATCATATTCATACGATCATTATACATGGGTAATATAGCGGATAGTAATATTAATGTTTTTTTAAAAGTATTAATAAGAGAGAGCGTATGCAATGTGCGCGATCGTTAACTTCATTGTATGCTCATTCTGCAGACAAGATGATCATTTTTTAATCGTGATTTACGGTTAAACAATTTTAAGTGTATTACATTTCGAGAATTATTACTCTTAAAATAAAAAGTTGCACTTTATTTTTCGAACTTTCTCATAATAATATTTTATTCCTCGAATTTGGAGATATTTTGTAAAAGATAGGAAGAAAAGAAAAAAAGAAAAACAAAGAGAAAAAAGAGAATATGATTATAAATTATGATAGTGGCTATGAAAGTTCTTTATAATTTCAGTCGATAATCTTGGATATATATTAACTGATCCAGGAAAAGACTTCTCGTTCTATAAAGGGATGATAAAATGAAGGGTAATAACCTCGTCGTTCATGTAATATGTCCATCGCCTTCCTAACGATAAAAATAATATTATCAATAATCTATATGTATCTCGGTTGATTGCACTATGTACAGCGTGTGTGTATGAATTTTACTGTAGAATGCACAAGAGGAACGGGCTGCGAATGCATAAGAAAACAGTTTGCAATTATTTTTTAAAAATCATATTTAATATTTTTATAATGCATATAATACTTAAAAAATTTTTAAATTTGTAAAAACAGCGCTTAATGATGTTAGTATTTATTCTAGGGAATACAATGAACACATATCTATTATGGCGGTAGCTCTATGGGTTCAATCAGCAAATCACAATCTCGTCTGAAAACAGAAAAGCAATACATATCTAATTATTCATAAATCATTATTGTGAAATCTTGTGATTTATTTATATATGATAGTTACCGCCATTAAAACACATATAACTATAGGATATAAAATACATGTAGTAAAATTTACAGAAAAAACTTAATTGAATATCAAAAAGTTACTTATAGAAAAAAAATTTAATTGAATATCAAAAAGCTCTAGATACAGCACATATGTATCTTTATATCTTTATATTTTTATATCTTTATATCTTTATATGTGCAGAATAAATGCATATATAGTATTACATGTACTATACTATCTACCTATATATTACCAGGTACATTTAATACATGTGCATTTAAAGCATTCTGCATATAAAGTATTATGCTATATACGGAAAGAATTCTTTGATATTCAATTAAATTTTTTTCTTAAAATTGCAAAATAAATACATGCTAATTGCACATACGTGTATATATTGTATTTGTGAGTGAAAAATAAATTATGGAAGCTTGGAAATAATATTAAAAATGAAATAACCGATAAATTGATAAATAATTTAAAAAATGATAATTAAAAAAAGAATTTATAAAAAAGAGATATGTATTACAGATTTTACGTATCTATTATATTGTAGTAACTTTAATGTTAATATTTTATTTGTATATTTAATTTTATATTTATACAGTATTATATATATTTAATTATATTTTTAAATAATAGAAAGTTATAATAGAATTTTTCTTATTTTTATTTTATTTAGTGTTTTAATTTGTTTATACTTTTAATATTTAATATATTACATTTAAAAATAATGTATATTGTCAGATTGGGAATAATTTAAAATTAACTGATTGATTTTAGATTAATACATCGCAGAACTCTTATGACAAATTAAATAACTGTCAGCTGCATATCGATGCCCGAAGCGGAGATTTGTTTTCTGTACGAAATGAAACGAGTTTAGAACACTGCGAGTTGTTATACCAATATATGCCAGTTGTTATATCAACCGCTGCTCCGCCGGGACTGTTACACGACAGAAACAATATGGTGTACGTTCGAAGTGTAATACTCTCGTACACCAATAGTAGGAGGAGAGGAAAAGGGGTTGTGTCATAAGTGATTCGGTATGCGCATACGTGATGATATAGGTCGTTACGTAAATGCTCACGATATTCGATCGTAGTTACATATATACACAGAGTGTTCAATCGTAATCAATGAAATAAAAATATCTTGGAAATTGAATTAGGTCGGATATTTCTTTCTACAATAGTGTATACTTTATAACATTTTGAGGACGTAGTGATTCGATCAATTTGCCAAATAATAAATTTATGCATCGAAATGATACCACCTCTTTTTTTTTAAAAGAATCATGATTTTTTTTTAATACCACTCTTCATAGCGAATCTAGCGCTCTTATTTGAATAAGAAATATTTTGCTTGAATATTTTTCCCTCAAATATCATAAAAAAAATCTCCATTTTTATTTTTGAGATATTTAATTTTATTATTATAATTGGATAACATAGAGTGCATAGAGAAAGAGTTATAATGTAAAATTTCTTTACTAGTTTACTTATAGAGTTTAGATGTACATGCAAATGCCTTCCGGGAATGTATAATAACTTAGGAAATTCCTTCGATTGAATGAAACATGCCTCTTACTAAATCTTTTTTTGAGAACAGAATTATTTCTTTTATCTCTTTTTTTGAAAAAAGTAGTGAAACTATAGATTTCTTTTTTGATGAATGTGCTTTCGCCGAACGTCACGTTTCGTCAAGTCTAAAATACGGAAATTTTCAGAGACGCCACAATCCATTAACCACCTGAATACTACCGGATGTGCCCTTCTCAAAAGTGCAGAGGGTAAATTTGCAAACTCGTGCGCGTCATGTCGAGTCTGATAAAGCGCAGAAAATTTCGAAACGCCATCCGGCCTCTTCCCTTGAGTATCGAGAAGAGAATGTGCAGTTCGTAAACTAGCGAACTAATGCATGATGGCATTAACTTTGATAGTACAAAAATAGAATACAACTTTAATAAAATCGAATGTAAAAACGATTACATGTTAAACGATTAATTATGATATAATTCTCATAACAAATTATTTTTGTAGGAATTTTAAATATAGCAATCAAATTATTATTTTATTTAAAAAAAATACTTTAAAAAATTTTTGAAAAGTAGTAGTAGTAGTACCTTTGATTTTACTTTATTTTCTTATAAATCTATTATCTTATAAATCACATTTACTTTCTTTTATATTCTGCTTTAAATACTTGTAAATATAAAAATAATTTTCAAAATATTATAGGGCACACTTTTTACGCTTTTTATATTAAATCCCTATTCACAACTTTATTCAAGAAAAGAATTTATTGTATTTATATCTCTAACAAATGCAAAAATATTGATTGTAAAAGAACGCAAAATATTTAGATTTATTTATTATCGAAGGATTAAACTTTTCAATTTATTATATATTTTTAAATCTTCCTTTTATATCAGACTTTAGAAAAAAAACATCAGCAGAATATATAAATATTATGAAGAAATACAACATAATATTAACTTATTAAGGAATTTTTTTATAATTATAATTCTAAAAAATTCTAATTGTAAATAAATTTTTTTTTTTAGTAAGAAAATAAAGCAACAATTTTACTTGAAAATTTACCTGCAAATATCCGCGCTATGCTGCCGGACGATTTACAATAAGTTTCGAATGATGAATCGTAACTTATCAAAGTTTGTCTGGCGTCCTCGCACCAATTCCAAAAAATAATCTTCTGATTTCGTGTGGTGAGATCCGACAAGAGCAATGCCAGGTTTTTTGCGACAGTGGCATCAATTCTGAGCACGTGTCGACCTTCTATTACCACTGGTAAACTTGTCGGCCTCTTATCGCACCTAGTGATATGCAACAAAATGACAAATCTTGAAATAACTATCTTTTTTAAACGCAAACAAGATATTACGGAAAAAATATAAAGTGCATACATAATATTGCTCTTTACGATGGAATTAATTTTTTTGTATGGGAAATATTCTTTAAAATATAATTTAAAAGACGGAAAAAGTTTCTTGAATTAAGATTAATCTATAAAGAAACAATAATAATAATACTTAACGAAACATTTATTCAATTTGCCAAGATATTACGCCGTTTAAAATTTTGCGGTATTTTACATTTTTGGAGGGATATTTAGTGTACACGCAAGACTGAATCGTTTCTTACGCGGATTTGCGGTGAGACTTACCACGACATCACTCGCTCTCGAAGGTACTCTGCTGCTGGGAAGCTCAGGGATTGCTTGGGTGATACGAAAAGCACGGTCAAACCATCAACGATTCGCTCTTCGATCAATAATCCTGGCCGAGCCGCGAAATAGAGTAAGAGAATTAGATTTACCGCAATCCCGATGATCATACCATACTCTAAACTGATCGCCAAGCAACATAATAACGTCACTATCAACGGCACTAGATCGATTTCTATTCAACAGACAAAGAGAAGACGGATATTTAATTTTAAATAAACTGGATTAACTAGATAATTTATAACGAGCTATATTAATAAAAATTGATTTCTTGAGTGTTGTTATATCTTTATATCTTACTCGTATCATTAAAAAATAGAATTTGACGTATATTTGTAGTAAAAAAATACCTGAGGAAAAAATTTATTAGAGAGAGAAGAGAATTATATTTTTATTTAATTAGAACTTATTTTCTCATTAATTTTTTTATTTATAGAAACATATATGAAATAAATATTGCGATTACTTTCAAATTTTAACTTATTAATGATTATTAAATAATTTCGCTACATCAAATGTGTAGCATATTAAAATATCGTACCTGTTTTTTATGAAAAGTGTTTTAATAATAATTAATTATTTAATTGTAACACATTATTTGAATTATATGACACATAAATATTTTAGTAATATCTTTTTGAAGCTAATCAAATACACATGCACAAAAAACATGCACAAAAACCTATTTAAAGAAATAAGCTTTCGAAGCTTATGTATGTTGAATGTACATATAAAAAGAAAGTATTGATAAATAATTAGTATCTTACTCTTTGTTCTCCAAAGAAGAACGAAAACGTGCGTTTCAAACATGTAGAACATCGCGATCATGATAACAGCTGCTAATGTAGCTTTGGGGATATATTTAATGGTAGATGTCAATAGGTGGCATGCCAAAAGCACCAAACTGCCGGTGATAATACCACCAAACGGCGTTTTGACGCCAGACGAATTGTTAATAGCAGTACGAGTGAAACTTCCAGTTACGGGCATTGATCTCACAAAGCTGCCGCATATATTACAAAGGCCAACCGCTAGCATCTCTTGATTCGCGTCAAGAGTCTTTCCTTTCGCTGAAAATTTGCCGAAAATTTCCGGATAAGTATCGCTTTATAAATTATTATTAAAGGAAATAACTAAAAAATCCAATATCTCAATAATTTATAATATTCGCAGGCGGCTAATCTGCTGGAAGGGACACAGGAGTGTACCTTTCCTTTTTAAGAGATCAGATTTTTTAAAAAATTTACGTTTTTATATCCATTTCATTGAATGACCATCGAATGATTTATGACATTGATTTTTTATTAGATATATCATTACAAAATTTAAAAAAGAAGTCATATTTTGCTTTATCGATGCAGTATTTCCTTCTATCATGCACTTTTAATTAAAGTTAGTCCTTTTCAAGTAAATTTGCTAATAATATTTACTCACCAAAGGCCTTAGCGATGGCGATGCTCTCCAAGATGGCGATGAGTGGTATCGAGAGGATACTACTGCTAAGTTCGCCGACTATTTCTGTGAAGGTATATGTATGGTTTCCGTTTACGATGGTAAACGGAGGTAAAGAAAACGGTGGTAAACCCTCAGTTATGTTGCCCGTAATTTGGAAAGGCTTGAGATCATGAGAATATAGCTCGTAAGCTATGAGAATTCCAACCATCACGACTATGGCGTTTCTGGCCAAGGAGATTAGCCACATAAATTTTTCGAAAGGAGTTCCCTGCTTTTTGCCGGGTAGTTTCTATTTTTGAAAATTTTATTTTATAATTTAATTTTAATAATTAAATTTAAAAAATTTCATTATATTTTGCTAAAAAATATCCGCATTAAAATAAAAAGTGCATATTTAAAGCATTTAAAGGAGATTCTCTATGATAATTTATTTTGACATTTAATCTTAATTTAAGATTTTTTTTTAATGGATAATTACCTAATTGAAATTTATACAATTTTTAAGGAAAAAATTTACCAAATATGTCAAACTGACATTGACTTATTAATTTTTATATTCGAATAAATTTTATTAGCGATAAAAAATGTTAATTAGGTACTGAGAAGTTTCAATTAAAAAAGTGCTAATAAAATATATAATTAAATATATAATCCCTTCTAAAGACGATCATCTCTTAATGATAATGTTTGTAATGTTTGTAATTTGATAATTTTTAATCAATTTACCTTGAAGAGAATCAGCAACATCATTGAGCATATTCCTAGCACTGTATCCCAAAGTTGGGTTTCGTTTATATGCTTAACAACATGTGAAATAGCATCGATGAAGGAGTCACTGCGCCCTTTAATACCTAGTAAGGTACCTAATTGGGAAGTAGCGATAATAATCGCCGCGGCATTACTGAAGCCGCAAATTACAGGCATGCTTATAAAGTCTACGAGAAACCCCAAATGAAGTATTCCCATGAATGTGATCACAGCGCCTGATAAAAAGCATATGAGCACCTGAAAAACAATTTCATTCGAAAAAAACATTATAAAAAAAATTAAA